AGAACGAGTCTTGGTGCTCATCCTCTCATAAGATAATAAGTTTTCATTCACATGCAAATTAAACTCATTTTCACAAGAATGGTTGAGCACCAGGCCTCGTTTTGAAATAGAGACCAACCGTAATTCCGAAATGGGCTATTAAAAATTATCACTGGTACAGTTTTTTTTCTTTTTCATGAGTCAAGAGTTTCCTGCATGGTCTACGAATACTGCTCCAATAAAAAGTCCACAATTGAAAGATATCACAATTTGACAGAGTCTGGCACAAGAATAAATTGCTACACCTTTTCGTTTAGTCTTTGGCTCTCAGCTTGCTATGGACAAATCTTGTTATTTTGCTCAAACTTGCCTTATTATTGTATTTCAATGACAAAAACTTACACATACTAACTGTTCTGCACCTCTGCATCACATGATCATTCATTAAATCAGTAGCTAAGGTCCACTTGATCATGACAGATAAGATACTGGAAACTCATTAATATTTACCAGCAGGTATACTGGCAAATTATGAGTTCGTCTTACTTTGACTATTACCAGTGTTTAAATTACAGTTGCCAGTCTAAGATGATTGAGTCACAAAACATGTTTGGCAGTGGTGTACACAATGAGGACAACATCTCCCCCCACCCCTTCCCCCCTGTTTTCTGACTGAGCCCTTCAAACACCCTTTTGCTAAAATGGTTTACATTTGAATCTCTAATGTTTTCATTATCATAATTAGCTCACTGTTTTTTGTTGTTGTTGTTGTTGTTGTTTTTAAACCACTGATTGATCAGTAAGTTCTGAAGGAAACATTAAATGGGTGTGTCCAAGGAGAGCAGGTGGGCTTCACCCTTTATTCCTTCTAGGTTCCTTTTGCTTATGGTTTTGTTGAGAAAAGACAGAATAAAGCATTCTACTTAACCTTACAATTCAAATTCAAACAGTTCCTTTGTTCCTTTTCCAACTTTTTCAAAGCTCCTCTTTATAGAAATCAGCTGCTTCTCAGTAAACTGATATTTCTCATTATTGAAGATTTCTTTTTCCAGGGTGTCAAAGATTGCTCCTGTTTCAATATCTACATGAGAGAGACACCAAGCAAATTGCTGTATATCTCTTTCACTAAAATCAGACAATTTGTTGGCTAAAAGTGAAGAACATAAAAGTTGGTAAAACTTTTTGCTTCCTTTGTTGGCCTCAACAAATCCTTGCAAGAGCAACAGTTTTTCTTCTTTATAAAACACACTGATGCCACGCTGAGATACTACGGCTTCAATTGAGTCAAAGAGCCCACTATCTGACTTCTCTGTTCTTGCCAGACACCATGCAAGCTGGCATAACTGAGCACTGGCAATATGTTTTACACTCCTAATGCACAACACGTCCTCAATTTCACTGATTAATTTGTCATCATGTCTCTGAGCAGAAAAGAATGAAAGTAGGATCAACACAAGTTCATGTGTGTGGAGTGTTTGAACACCACGTTGAAACAACTCATCCTTGACAACATCAAATATCGCTCCTGAAAAATGTCTCTTACTGAAACTCCAAACAATATCCAAGATTTCAGCATTGCATAAATGCCTCACACCCATGGAGGCAATTTTATGATCCAATGACTGGAAAAATTCCTTGCTACCTTTCTCAGCTTTCCCAAATGCCCATAGAATTTTAACAAAATCAGTTTTGTTTAGATCCATCATGTCTCTGCTTATTACTTCTGCCTCAACTTTGTCAAACAGTTCATCAGCTTCCTGTTCCTTCTTTGCAAATGACCAGACAAACTCTGCTATAGGGTGACTGTTCATTGAAGTCATGTCTCTTGACAGAAATTCTTCCAACAAAGCTTCAAATAACTCTACAGAACCATTACCAGCTATGGCAAATGAATA